CTGGTGAGGCTCACCTGTCCCAGCCAGATACAGCCCCAGTAGAGTCACACTTCAAGCCTTCCAGCCAGGCTCTTGCCTCTCTGACCTAGATGACCACCTCATACTCACCAAGCCCTACCCTGTCCCCCACTAGCTTTCTCCCTCCCCAAATAACTTTCCCTCCCAAAATAACTCTCCAATCTCTCACCCTGCCCCTGGCTCTGCCCTCAGGAGCAGGTGGAGTATGTTTTCCTGGTGATTTTCACCGTGGAGACTGTGCTCAAGATCGTGGCCTATGGGCTGGTGCTCCACCCCAGCGCCTACATTCGCAATGGCTGGAACCTACTCGACTTCATCATCGTCGTGGTCGGGTGTGTGGTCAGCCCATCCTATTTTGCCTTCCCACCCCAGGCCTTCTGAATTCTAGGCTCAGGCTGCCTCAAACCACCCCCATTTGGCTGATGGAATCAGGAATATTAACATATTTCAAATCATTTACATTTCCAGCTAAAGGGACTTGTGCTTTTCTGGGGAGATGGAAGAAGTGGAGGGGCATACCAAGGCCTGAGCCTTGCCTCTCTCAGTGGCATCACTAGGAGAGTTCAGGGAGTGCGGACTGCACGAGTGACACTGTCAGAGGGGGACACCAAAATGACTATCTATAAAATTTTTGTGCAATGTTTCAGCAGAAATTTATTATTTCCTATAAAAATATCTCCATAGTTAGTTATAACAACAAAAATATTTTTTGTAAACACAGTTTACATGTATCAATATACCTAAAATGCGTGTTGGATTACACAAAGTAAGTAGCGGCTTATTGCTTATTGGGTACTATGTCCCTGTCAAGGACTGTAAATTTGAAAAGAGGCTTTGATTCTGTTGGGAGGTGCTGTGGGGTTGGGAGAGAGGCAGGTGGAAGCTATATCTAGAAGTAGAATCTTTGTGGTGAAAAAAAACATGAAATTGTTAACAACAGATAGTAAGGAAGCCCATGCTTACCTTGCTTGTTGGGTAATACATCCCTACCTACAAGGCTAAAACTCTAGGCTAATTTTCTTATTTTTTCTAATTTACTTTTGAACCTTCTAATATGATCTGGTGGTGCAATGGGTAAGGCATTGGGCTGCTAACCAGAAAGTCAGCAATTCAAACTCACCAGCCCCTCCATGAAAAGAAGATGAGGCAATATACTTCTGTAAAGATTCAGAGCCTTGGAAACCCTATGGGGTTGCTATGAGTCTGAATCGACTTGATGGCAGTGGGTTTGGTTTTGGGGTTGATGTGCTCTGGTCAGAGAGCTGTCATTATTACCTAATTACAACAATCTTTCTAATCACAAGCTGTCCTCTGCCCACTCTGCAAGGACAATGTTGATTTCCTTGCTGCTGGTGTTTCTATAGTCACTGATTTTGTCAAGTTTTCTGGTGTTTCAGCTATAATATTTTAATTAGTATTTGTGAACCTATATAAATAACTTTTTTGAGAATGAAGTAGTAATTAAAGGAAAAGATCGGACAATTTTTAAAAAGGCTTCCGCTCAGTTACTAGTAATGTTCTGACTAATAATGTTGTAATTCAATGTAAAAAATATTTTGCAAAGCAATTTTGTTGTTAGTATTTCATATAATCTAAGAAATATTACATTTAACAAATTTACAACTATATCACATATCATTCT